GACTAGCAGCGACGACGGCTCGGTCATAGGTTTTCGTATCAGATCAATGTCTCGCCTACATGTTTTCATCCCAAATCAATGTTCACTGATAGGCGTGCGACCAAGTTTGAGGGTAGGGTTTTTTTTCGGATCCAGTTATCGACGACGATTTCGGTGGCTCTGATTTGGGAGTCCATCAACGGCGGCGCGAGGGAGAGAGGTATCTAAGCGGCGGCGCGAGGGAGAGAGGTATCTAAGTTATAAAAAAGCTCTATGTTATAATTAGGGTTGCTTACGACGAATTAAAATTAAGGACAGAGGTTGATATATATTGTAGAAAGCTCCATGGTATACCTGCAACTAAACTATGGGTAGACACTTTTTTTTTTCTGTACTTCTTATTTCATTGTAATAAAGATTCTTTGAAAGCTCCATGATTTGTGATTTTTGTTGGACCAAGTTGTATATTTATAGTTTATGTTAATTAATGTATTGCTAGGTTGGACATTAACTCTGATCTGGATGATCTTTGTATACATATTGGTATAGTATGAGTAATTATTTGTAGTTTGTTGTAGGTCTTGAAATCTTTATAATGTCATTAACTCTGATTTGCAGTGGTGCTAGCGGAGCTATTGACGAGGGGACGACTTGGTTAGGATCTTGGACAGTCGTTTGGAGGCGTGTGGTTAGGTTGAGGTGCTTACCGAGAAGTAATGCGAGTTGGAAAACTTGTCGAGAAGTGCTTAGCGTGCTCGTCAATATAGGCCGAGTGTGAGGGAAGTCACATTGGATAGGGATTTTTTAATATTTTTATTCCACCTTTATAACTATTAAAATTACATCTATCATTGCTCTCCCCAACCCATTTGTTTTTGGCAGAGTTGATGAAACGGAAACACGCCCATCGTCGACAACGCACGTCATAAGGTCCGACTTGTTGAAGGTTTGTCAACGGATCCAACGTCACAAGAGCTTCTCCGACTTCACCACGCACCACCGGCGGGAGGCTTGCATCCTTAGCACTATCCTAATCGTCGCCAACCTCACCTTCGATTCGAGATCTATGTCGGGTTCCTTCCTCCCTCTGTCGGTGTGGCCCATCGCCTTGATGCTCAACATGTAACAGCCTTGAGATTAAATTTGTGGCTTGGTAGGGTTGAGCAATTTTTTTTTTCTTTTGTTGTAGGAATTTCATTGATTGATCTTTGGATCTATGAATTATTGGGATTTGTTTTTAATTTATGTTCAATTTTCCTTTGGTACTTGAAAGCAGCTCTAAAATTATTACCCATGATTGAAATTTTGATCGGATCTTGAGTTCGGGTTTATCTGTGATTTATCTGTGGTTTTTTGTTGGTTTATCTGTTGGTTTATCTGTGGTTTATCTGGGATTTTTTGTTGGTTTATATGTGTTTATTTGTTGGTTTATCTGTGGTTTATCTGTGGTTTTTGTTGGTTTATCTGAGGTTATACTTATATATATATATGTGTGGTTTATCTGTAGTTTTTTGTTGGTTTATCTGTGGTTTTTTGAATCCCGAGCTCGAGATAAACTTAAGATAAACTATTATATTTAGTTTATTTTGTATGATTTTTTTTTTGGTCAAATTGTCTTCTATAACTTAGTAAAAAAAATACATAATAAACTTGAGAAAAACCAAAAGTTGCATGTTAGTTTAATAAATTTTAAAAATAATGTAACAAACTTAAGATAAACTACAGAAAAACCAAAAGTTGCAAGCTAGTTTAAATTATAAAACAAAGTAACAAACTTAAGATAAAATACAGATAAACAATTGAAAAAGGAAGAACGGATGGTTAATTTAAAATAGAAAATATATGGGATAGAAATAGAATTGTTTCAAAAAGTGATGTTTTGAGAAAGTTTAGTGACGTCTTTAGCATCACCACGTCACTATAGTTGCGGAGAAAGACAATTGTGGAATTAAAAGATCACAAGTGGAGATTGTGCGATTCAATAATTTTTTATCGTCTATATGTAAATTATACAAAATGGTCTCGTAGGTATGTACTTACGCCAAAAGGGTAGGGGTTAAGGTTGGACCCGAACTATATGTTAACAAGTCCAAGATGAGCTGGAAAGTCACAAATCTACAAGATCATACAATAGGCACAAAACAAACAATCTAAACGGTAGAGAGAAAGCAAAGAGAAAAATAAAGAATGAAAGCAAACTCCAAAAGAGAAAAAATTTAAAAAATATTGAGCTAAGATGCACCGACAAGAGTCTGCTCCACAATACAAGAACACAAAATAAAAACTTGTGGCATTACTCTCCCATATTCATTTAATTTTTCAACTCATTTTATTGCTATCAAATTTCATTTCAATATACCAATCATGACATAAGTAGTAAACGAAAACAACAAAAGATTACGTAATCACGTAAACTAAGTAATCTTTAAATTAGAGGATTGTAAATTTATATTTTTAGCTATTAGACATAAGGTATCTTATTTTACTTTAAACAATCGCACATATATATACCTTAACACTTAATATTTTTCCATATTTTCCTCTTTTTATATAAATTTATAAATATATGAAATTTATATTAAACAACATAACAAACTAAAATCCCCCTCCCCCTCATATATTAATCCAGAACGCGCTGAGCCTATGTGGCTGCTTCTGGTGCTTCGGAATCCTATGTGGCAAAATTACATGCTTCGTTATTAGGCTTGAATAAATAATTTAATTTAATCCACACCAAAAATAATTAGGTTCGGATTACCATAAATATGTTGATTATTTATGGTCATGTTACATGTATTAATTGCATTTCAATATCATTTCATATTATAACTATTGAATTGTATATATATTTTAAAAGTTAATAACTTTTGTATTTTTTATCAGTTTTACATATGTAATATATCAAATTAATCATTTTTTTGATGAGTTTCGATTTAACATTCATATTGTATGTATAAAAAAAATAATTTATATTTATCTTTATAACAATAATAAAATTATTTTTAATATTAATTAGAAAAATAAAATTATTTATCAACTATTATATTTATATTTCAAGTAGTTATATGATATAAGTTATAAAAACTAATATAATATAACACATGTAAGTCATAAGTAACACATATCATTCTAAAATATAGAGTAATGTATTTTTTTTTTTGTAAAAAAGTAAACTAGATTTTTATAGTTTTCTCATTAATTTTAAAATTTAAGAATAATTTTTTAACAAGCATCTGTGTAATACACGGGTGTTGTACTAGTAAATAAAAATAATCTCTAAGAAAATATATTGAAAAAAGAAAATTATTATAAAATACTGTAAATATTGTAAAATGAAAAGATGGAATATGAAAAAAAGAAAACTATATTAAAAATAATAAATTAAAATTGTTATAATAAATAGATAGTAAAATGAAAAGCGGAACATGGAAATACATTAGTGCATCCACAATGCGTTGGGTTCAATTTTACATATGTGACATATAAATAGACTTAAGTCCTTAATGACATGGACAAACCCAAGTAAAAAAATTCAAAAGTCATCCAGTGCAAAAACAAAATATTAGGTCTAGAGTATTTGTCAACCAATAAAAATCCTCTAAAATATTTTCTATATTAAGATAAAAATTAAATTAGAAATAAATGTTAATTGCTTAGGTTTGTAATTGGGTCCAAAATAGACCCAAGTGTAGACTTGGTCTCATTTTTTGATTGCCAAATAAGTTAGACCTAGTCTACTTTTAATTGCATTAGAAAACATTTCTTAATAGACTAAGTCTCTTTCATACATGACATATGATATTTTTGTAAGAGACCCAATACATTGTGAGTGC